TGTGCTGCTGAGTCACCTGTGACTCATAGCCACCATCTGTACAGCAGCTCTCAAGCCTGCCCTGCACCAATCTCGCTGATTCTGAAACACCTACCCCATTGACCCAGTTATTGTATCAGTACATCTCATCTGGGGTCTTTCACTTCTGTGGTGTCCTTCCACCTTTCCGAGCATAATGTCCTTCTCCAAGGACTTGTCCCTCCTGGCTACATGCCCAAAGTATGTGAGACAGAGCTTCAAAATTCTAGCCTCCAAGGAGAAAGTTGGTTTCACCCACTCCAAGACAGACCTATTTGGTTTTCTGGTGGTCCATGGTATATTCAAGACTCTTCTCTAGCATCACAACTCAAAGGCATCGATTCTTCTTCTGTCATCCTTAGTCGTTGTCCAGCTCTCTGATCATATTAAGTAATTGCAGAGATCATGGCCTGTATCAGGTGCACCTTAGTCTCTAGACTGACATCATTGCTTCTCATTGCTACTCTGGAGAGGTCTCTGACAGCAGATTTTCCCAATGCAATTTGTCTTTTGATTTCCTGACTGCTGGTACCAAGAGTGTTGATTGTGGTGCCAGGCAAGCTGTAATTGTTAACATCTTCATTTCTTCTTGATCTGTCATGATGCTGCCAGTTGGTCCAGTGGTGAGAATCTTTGCCTTCTTGATGTTGCGCTTCAATCTATATTGAAGAGTACAGTCCTTGACCATCTGCAGCAAGCACTTTAGCAGTAATTATTTATTTGCTTTATACCATTCTATCTTAGAAAAATTTTCATAGATATGCTCTACTTTTGGATAGTGTAGAAAACCTGTGTATTTAATGTACCAGATAAATATGCGTTATGTGTATTGTGGACAGTGATCCCATAAGGCTGATGTTACAGTTATTGCTATCACACAAATAAGATTTAAGGCGTAAAGAGCCTGGGGTCTTTATCAGGCATTATCTGGTGTCACAAGTGGGCTAAGGATGCAGAATTTAGCTTCTCCTTTGATTTGCCGAGATTGAATGTCTGCCTCTACTGTTCCGTTGCATCTGAGAACTGACATGTGAAGAAGCAATGTCTTTGACCTGTGGTGTTGGAGAAGATCACTGACTCTCCTGTGGACAGCCAGAGAACGAAAGCTATGTCGTGGAGAAAGTGCAACCAGGGTGCTCCTTGGAGGCAAGGATAGTGAAGCTTTGCCTCTCATACTTAGGGCATGTTGTTAGGAGGGGTCGTTCCTTGGGAAAGGACACGTACTTGGGAATGTGAAGGGTCAGTGAAAGAGGAAGACCTCAAGAAGATGGATTGACACAGTAACAGAATCTGTGGACTCAGGTATATCAGGTGGTGAGGATGGCACAGGAGAGGACAGGGTTCAAATCTGTTGTTCATAGAAGCAGTGTGAGTTGTAGGCAACTTGATGGTATGTAACAACATCAACTTCTGGAATTATCTTTCCAAAGATGTTATTTCATATATAGGATGAACTCCAAGTGAAAGAAATCATTAGCTGGTTAACACTAAAAAGAATTTAATATAAAGTAGCATTTTTTAGTTTGCATGAGCTTAGAATACTGCTGGAAAGAAAATAAGGAACATGTAATGTTTGTTGTTGTTGTTGGTATGTGCCATTGAGTCTTTTACAACTCATAGCGACCCTGTGTACAAGAGCCCTAAACCCTGCTCTGTCCTGTGCCAACTTTACTGTCTCCGACACACTTGAGCAAGCAATTTGTTATAAACAGATTTTCAGTCAAATTTCTAGAGTCGTAGTCCTTGAATTTACATCTTAGCCCTGTTTAAGTTGGGTGACTATCCTGACCTTTTTGCCATGGTCTTTCATTCCTACAGTGAAGGTAAGGCTAACAGAGGATAAGATGAATAAATAGAACTAAAGTGTTTAAAACTAAGCAAAGTCTGCCCACAGTTGAGTGCTTAAAACCCTTCAGTGATCACTCTTATTTAAAATGGTAATATATGCAAGAATCGTGTTCGTCACTAAATAGCTGATGTGGCTGTATACACCCTGCAGGAGCCCTGAGGGCTCAGAGGTTGACTGCTAACCTGAAGTTTAAAGGTTCAAATCCACAGGGTGCTCTTTGAGTGAAAGAGGAATCGCTCTGCTACTGTAAGGTTTCTAGTTATCATGTGCCATTGATTTGTAACCAACGTCAAGCTGACCGCTCCTCCAGCAGGTGTTGAGAGATGTAAGGTGTTCCTTACCGGGTCACCACGTCTCCTTACAGATTTACAGCATTGGAAACTGTAAAGGTTACAACCTTGGGAGTCTTCGGGGAACAGTTCTGCTCTGCCCAACAAAGTTACTGAATCAGAATTTGCCTTGTTGACGGTAGGGGTGGTTTTACTGTCTTACATAGGTTACAGCGGATTCGAGCGTGTCCGAGGTGTAAGAACGACACAGGCTCAGCCCTGTTGTTTGCAGGGTCACTGTGGGTCGCAGTTGCCTTAATAGCATCTAACAAGAGGTTTAGAAAAAACGTAAATTATTGGACATTAGATAATAAAAGAAGTGTTTGTGCAGTAGATGATTTGAAATTAACACTGAGTTCAAAATTAGGCAGTGGTTAGGATTGGTGAGTTAAAAGAAAGATCAGGTACCGCAGCAATGGGCATGCTTGAGTAGTTAGAAGGAAGTGCTCGGAGGTTGGATTGCGAAGCAGTTAGCTGTGGGTTCTTGCGTGGATGTCAAGGTGTGACACGATGTGCTGTCCCCTCTGGGAGGAGGCCTGTCGTGGGGACTGTGTTGTAGGTGAGCACCGGCCAGCATGGCAGCCCAAGTCCCCCCTGGTGCTTGTTACGTGCACCGGACGGATCAGCTACATACCTGTGACGCCAGCTCTGTATGTCAGCTATAAACTATAACACCCATGTTCCGCCACAGTCCTTTCCCAACCTAGCATCCATCTTTCAGCTCTTGGCACTTTCCCCCTTACTCTTTGTACTTCCCCATACCAGATTTATCTCCGTTTGTTGGACACGCCAACCTTTTTCATGATCGAATCCTTGCATGTATTACTTTCTTGGCATAATAAAGACATAACAAGTACTTTTTTTTCCTCTTGGACAGCTTTTGCTTGCTTTTTAAGATGTGTTATATTCTTGGAAAAAAGTCTTAAACACAGTTATTTTCCTTAAATGCTGTGTTCTTATATGGTTTTATATTTTTACTATGATATGTACCAAGTTGATTATAATTTGAATGAATTTTTATTTTTGGAAGATATGTAAACTCTTTCAGGACAGAAGCTACATTTAATTATTTTTTCTATCTTTAATGATATGTTCTCTTAAGAGTTTATACCTCACTCTTATTGAACAAGGAGGGAATGATAGATGGTTGGAACTTCTTATTCAATTTACTTAGAAAATGCTAAATAATGAAGAAAATCCACTTTACCATGGAGATACATGTAATTGGAAATACAAATCCTATCAATGTCAACTAGGACTTCTGTGGTAACCTGCTAAAATGAAATTAGTTGGAGGGCAGCAAAGGGTGAATTAGTGTCTCTTCCTCTGTTAATATTGGGTTACTAAAAAATGGAGAATAATATTGTGAAAAAAAGAGCGCTGGGGATGTACTGTGTAGAAAATTGAGCTGCTTTCCAAAAACAACTATTTCATAAATGTATGTATATCATATGAAACTCTGTGAACTTTGAGAAGCAACAGTTATAGAAAATCTTCAGGTCTTTTGTTCATAGGGTTGCTATGAGTCATGCTCTACTTGACAGCAATCATCATCAACAACAATATCATCATAGGTCTGTGTGTGTATGTATTTGTGTGCATGTATATATCTATCTCTGTCTCTCTCTCCATGTTAAGCAGTTCAAATCCACCAGCTGCTTGGCGGAGAAAGATGGGCAGCCTCTTTCTTCATGATTTAGTGCCTCTGAAAACCCACTAGATGGTCAGCAGTGAGTAGTTTCTGACTCAACATTACACAGTAACGACAACAACAACAACAACAGATAGATTGTAGCTCTTTTGGTACAGATTTCATGGAAGTTAATAATTTGCTTTCTGAATGCTGTTATCCTGTTTTTAGACATTAGATCTTAGGAATTCTGTGCTTTGTTTGTGAAAATATGCTACTTGGTCTTCCCAGTATGCAAGATGTAGGCTTCTTTTTCTTCTTTGTTTCTTGGAGCACAGGACTGCTGCCTTACTCACCTCACTCTCCCCAAGGAAGGCTGTTCTGCTTCACAGAGAGGATACAGTGGAAATGGCAGTGATGAATACTTGTTATTTCTGAGTAACACTTGTTTGAAGCTTGTTTGTGACATGGGATGGTACAACATAAGGACATGTCAATATAAAGAACAAATTTGAAAACCTAAGACTTTATATGCTCACATGAAAACAAGGACTTTGGCAGTCCTGTGTGCATGCAGCAGGTATGAAAAGCATTTCAGTGAAGCTGACTGTGTACGAGGAAGATCAGTGGATAGAAGTCCAGATTATTCTGAGGTTAACATAGGCGTATCAGTGATTTAATGTGGGAAAAGGAGACGTTTGTGCATCAGATGAAGAGTTTCCCTCCCTCTGTATTCGGTTTCAGCTTCTCTCATGTTCTGAGGTGGCTCAGGATAGGGCAGGGTTCAGAGCTGTTGTTCACTGGGTCACTATGAGTCACAGTTGACTCGACAGCACATAGCAACAACAACGTGCTGAGTCGAGATCTGCCTGTGTTCCGCCACTGCTCACATTTCATTTGTTTTACCTCCTAGGTCTGTGGTGATTATTTCCTGAACCAGTCTGAGTACTGTTCAGGGCTTACCTGTGGAATACGGGGTGAGCACTGACTCTGAGTAGGAAAGCCGTTGTGTAATACAATGTCATAACCATGGTTGAAAGTGACCAGGGTTTTAAGCCTTTACCTTTTTAAGTTTAGTGTTTCTCTGCCCTTACCACAGTGCTTCGCAGTGCTGCCCTGTGTGCCTCGGATGGTGTCACATGTGTGAATTCTCTTCCTTTCTGTTCTCTTGCAGGTTTGACAGATGAAAAAGTGAAGGCATACCTTTCTCTTCACCCCCAGGTGTTGGATGAATTTGTGTCTGAAAGCGTTAGTGCAGAGACGGTAGAAAAGTGGTTGAAGAGGAAAAACAACAAAGCTGAAGGTAAGATGTCCTGCAGCTCGAGTGTGGACTGATTTTACACTGACGTTCCCCGCTCATGGTGGCACAAGGGAAGTTAGGTCATTTAGTGGAGGCCAGGGAGCAGGTGGATAGAGTATCTGGGGCTGTGGAGGTTGGTATTTCAGAGTTAGTGAGACTGGCTCAGGGCAGGGAAGGGTTCAGAGCTGCTGTACATAGAGTCGTTATGCATCTCAGGTGACTCAACCAATAACATTCTGTGGCAGGTTTAGAAGAGGAGTGGCATCCTCTCCCTAAACAACGCACCTCCAGAAACTCTATGAACTTTGAGAAATGGCGATAGTTGTAGAGGGGCTTCAGGCCTTTTGTTCATAGGGTGGCTTTGAATCCTGCTTGACTCGAAGGCAATCAACAATGACAACAGCTGTGAGCACATAGGGGAGGTGAAGGAGTAGGAAAGGTGCAGTGGGGGCTCAGAGAGGCAGGGGAATAACAGGCATAGATCTGTAGTAATTGATGATGTAAAACAGTTGTTGTGTAAAACAGTGTACATGAGTGAAACCCATGTATATGAATGATTATGCAAACCATTAAAAAGCGTTAAAATATATGAAAGACATAAAATAGACTCAATATTAAAATGTCTTACCAATTTTGCCAGGGTCTTGTTCTGTTTAATATGATCACTTAAAGTAAGTTGTTTTTATATCCTGTTAAGTTGTAACTGACTTGTAGCTGAACCTTCAGTAGATTTAGAATGAAGTACAAAACAATGGCTCTGGACATAAAATACAAAACAAAACTACAGAGATACATTTGACAGATCAGTGTAGAAAAGATTGCTTTGGACGTTCTAATTGAGCAGAAGTCAACATTTATTTAACATTATTAATTATAAATTGGAAGCAGAAGTGGCATCCACTTCCTAAATAACATGCTTCCGGAAACCCCATGAACATTGATAAATGTCAAGAGTTGTAGA